AAGATTTTCAAGACAAATCCCATCACGCTGCGGCGCGAGGATGGCCAACCGCCAACTAGCACTGAAGTGTCAACGGCGGAGGTCACGACCCAGGGACTCACATTGGGCAACATCGTGACGAGTGATGGTGGGGAGGGGCCGAACCTTATGAGACGCATCATAGACCACAGATCCGCAGAGGGCCCCTTGAAGAAGTCCATCTTCCGCCTACCGCACATCGACCTCAAGGCCAAGCTGCTGTACCTCACGGCGCTGGCGCAAAGCAAGCTGACCTACGACTGCGAAGTGTGGGGGCCACTTACAGTACAGCAGAAGCAGATGCTGCAGAGCAGACACATGGCGAGTCTGCGGGCCGCCGCAAGACAACAGCGACACAGCGCGGGACATGTACATACCTTGGATGACGAAATATACTTGCTGTGCGACGAAGTACCGATCCACATGTACCTGCGCCGACGGCGCCTGATGTACCTGGCCAGGATGGCGCATGCAGACACGCCCTTCCTCCACCGCCTCATCGACGAACTCTGGGAGGACGAGAAGGCCTGGAACGCTCTTATCGTCGAAGATCTGGACTGGATAAGAAGTTTCCTACTAGACGACGAGGACATCGGCAGCGACATCAGGGGATTGCTGCGATGGCTACGCACACAGCACGTGCGAGCCGCACAAGCCACGATCACCCGTGCGTGGCTCAGGTACAAAGCATGGCAGCACGACATATATCGACATCGAGTTTGGCAAAGGCAGCTACACCGTCTTGCGCAAGAGTTTGGAATGACCACGCCCAACTTCGAGGGGCTGCCGCCCGCACAGCACTGTGGCTACATATGCTATGAGTGTGGCAAGATATTAAAAACTCGGGGAGCATGGAAGCGCCATCGCACAATGGAACACATCGGCTACGACCTTCCCGAATTGCTTGCCCGTTCGACTACCTGCCCTGGGTGCGGGAAGAACTTCATAACGAGATCCCGCATACTCAAGCACCTGAGAAGGTGCCCCAAGTGCCTGGCGGTCCTCCAAGCCATCGAGGTCCCAATGGATTTGCAGGAGGCAGCCGAACGCCGAGAAGAAGAACGAGAAGCTGTGGCGGCGAGGAAGGCAATGGGGCATGGAGCTACAAAGGCGCTGGTGCCCGCCCAACAGGTCATACAGCTCAAGCTGGCCGACTACATAGAGCAGCACCAGCTCCAACTCTCGCCGGCCCCGCCTGCGGCAGCGGACGTCCAAACAGCGACACCACCTGCAATCGTATTCTCACCGTGCAGGCCCATGGTTACCACGGCTATGTTCTTGCTGCACCTTTTCTCGGGCAGACGTCGAATCGAGGATTTCCAGTACCACTTCGAGATGAACATACGGGAATGCAACTTGGTAGTACTATCGATCGACGTGCAGATAGACCCCGTCAAAGGAGACCTGACGAAGCCAGACGTCGTCGACTTTTGGTGCGCAGCGATACTACAGGGCAAAATATTTGGTATTGTGGCAGGCCCGCCCTGCGAGACGTGGTGCTCATCGCGCTGGCATGCCGCCGAGGGGAAGGCACCTCGACCACTACGTACACATGAAGCCCCCTGGGGCATACAAGCAGCTAGCCAAGTGGAGCATCAACAGATCGCACTAGCCAACGAGCTATACAGGACAGCTTTACTACTCATCACCACGGGCCTGCAGCACAACGTCTCAGCCGTACTCGAGCATCCCGCCCCAGCCACATGGTGCCCCCAAGCGCCCAGCAGCTGGCAGCGAGCAGAGACGCTCTGGCTCCTGGAGCAGACGGGCGTCGAACTGCACTACATAGACCAGTGCCAGTTCGGGCAGGACGCGAGAAAACCAACATGTCTGATGGCGGCACACCTCGGTGAACTCGCACAGGAGCTAAGGGCGGTACCTGGGGGACAGCTATGCAGACATGCGGGACATGCCGGCGTTTACGGACGAGACGGCCAAGGCGGCTGGAGGACCGCCCCCCTCAAAGAGTATCCATCAAGGCTGTGTAAGGCAATGGCTACCGCCTTCGCAGCCCACTGGGGGCAGCTTGCTGACGCAGAGGCAATGTGGGCCGAAACGGACGACTGCTACCACAGGTTCTACGCCCCCTTGGATTACTACATGGAGACAGACCAGATCGGCCATGATTGTCACAGGGCATGGGGCAAACATCGGCGCTAGCAATTGGCACCGCGGCGGCTTATTTGGTGCAGCCAGGCGAGTCAAGCGTCCAGTATTATATACTTTTGCCCCGCAAGGGAACACTGGTCTGCAATTTGGCGCAGACCACCGGCTTGCTACAGATCTGATGGCAGCTGGCATTACAATATTTTATACATAGCATTTCAGATTGGCTGCAGAAGTCTCAGCGCACCTACGGCATGGCCCAAACCCTGTTGCTAACGGGTTACTGGTACGGATGCGACCTGGACAACGATTGCGTGCCATCTCGAGGGGGGGGGACCCGTAGCGCCCATACGGGTGGGCACGATCCCTCAATGGCGACGGAGCGTGCCCCCCCCTCGAGCACTTGCTGGATTTATCGACTTTCCTAACATTGGCATTGTTTACTATGATCATCTGGCCCTGGGCAGGCATTACGGCGTGCTGCCTAAGTCCTGAGGAAGCCCCGAATGCGTGGGAAGACCTCAGGCAGCGGCGCCAACCTTGGTTATCGTTAGAACGCAAGACCTGGGGAAGCCCCGAATGCGAGGGAACACCCCAGGCACAAGTCGCCACGTTTTGATGTGTACCGCGGCGGCTCCTGGAGATCTACAGTATGGATGGCGCCAGCTGGCTGGCAGCGGGCGGCCCATTGGCCGTCAGCGTATCACCGACCGACATCGACAGCATACCCAACACGATCCCCTACAACTCCTTTCAAGTCAACGCTGTCCTGGTGAGGATCAAACTTCGAGACGGGCTCGAAGGGCTGGGGGGGAAGGACGAGTAATTCCCGCGCCCGCCAGCGGGGATGGTGAGGGGCAGGGGGGGGGGTAGGACGGCCACTACCCGCGCCCCCGCGGTCCGCCCTAGCTCGCCACCCCCACCATTCCCATGGAGAAGGAGGAGCTACCCGATCGCCCGAGGGCGAAGCTGGACAGCCGAGACACACCACTCCGACGACAAGTGCCAGGCCTGGGGTTCGCCCCCACCGAGGGCACCGTGACCCCTAGCCATAGCGGGACGAGGTGGGACAGTAACGACCCCCACTTGAAGTCGGTGCATGGAGGCCTTGGGAGCCCACCACCAACACAACACCAGCAACAGCCCGATCCCCAACGACCTCGCCAACTCGCTCCACATCTGCACGCAGCCCCATACAACGACATCTATAACATCCGAGATCAGTACCCTCCTGCAGCTCAAAAGCAGGGGGTCATGACCTACGGCCCTCGCGTGGCAGGCGAGGAGAGTGCTGCAGAGCCGCTGAATCCAGAGGCTCGGCAGGCCTCCACAGCGCTGAGCGCCGAAGGGTGGAGGCCGCCGCAGAGAAGGCGGCCATCCACCTGATGACCTGGCGGCTGGGCTCAGCGCGAGGCGCCGAAGGGAGCCCAGCCGCCGTACATGAGACCGACCGCTAGGCGAGGAGAGTGCTGCAGAGCCGCTGAAGTCAGAGGCTCGGCGGACTCCACAGCGCTGAGCGCCGAAGGGTGGAGGCCGCCGCAGAGAAGGAAGCCATCCACCTGATGACGTGGCGGCTGGGCTCAGCGCGAGGCGCCGAAGGGAGCCCAGCCGCCGCACAAGAGGCCGACCGCCCACAAAGAGGCCGAGGCCAGGACAGCGCTGCAGAGCCGCTGAAGTCAGAGGCTCGGCGGGCTTCCACAGCGCTGAGCGCCGAAGGGTGGAGGCCGCCGCAGAGAAGGCGGCCAGCCACCTGATGACCTGGCGGCTGGGCTCAGCGCGAGGCGCCGAAGGGAGCCCAGCCGCCACACAACAGGCCGACCGCCCACAAAGAGGCCGAGGCCTGGCTGCGGGCCGAGCTGGCTGAGCTGGCACGGGCGCGCGCGGCGCCTGCCGAGGGCCCAGATGGGCCCTCATCTTTTTGTTTTACTGAAACCCGGCCCCTCTCTCCCTTCTCTTTGATTTACTGGTCCCAGGCTCCCCTTTCCCTCGGGGCCGGGTTCCCGGGGCCGCAGTCTGAGCGCCCGCACGGCCCTGGTGGGCCGCTGCAGTGCGCTCCGCGCCCGCGGGGCGCGCGACAAGACGCTGCATAGCGAGAAACGCAGAAACGCAGGAGGCACCACGAGATCCTCCGTGCGGGGCGGGGGCCGAGCTCGGCACCGCGGCCCCGTCTCGCGGGCAGAGCCCTCGCTTCGCGAGCGAGCCAGCAAGGGCCGTGAGGGCAGCCCCGAGGCTCCCGGGCGAAGCGTCGATGCGCGGGGCGGTGGCGAGGGCCCGAGTCGTGCCCGAAAGATGGCAGCCCAGAACGACCCTCAGCAGAACCTGACTCAGCGCTCCAGCGGAATGAGGAGGATGACCCTGACCTTCCAGAGAGCTATTTTTTAGCACTGGAAACCTGAAAACCTAAAAAACGAGACGAAACAGCCTAAAACCAAGACGTAACATAGCTCTGGGATAGGTTTTTACGTCGGGTGCTATTTTTTAGCCCTCCTGGAAGGTCAGGGGAGGAGGACGTCGACAGCAGGAGAGCAGAATGGGCGGGGGGGGGGGTGATGGGAATACCGTGGCAATCGGAGCAGCAGCAGCAGCAGCAGGAGGATGTGCCGACACCCCTTGGAGAGGGCACATCACTTTCGGATGTCCGCGTGGAACTCCGGAATGTTCTACTTGTGCACGCGAGCGGTGGAACCAGGTGGCATCGAGACCTTCCGCGGTGGCTTACGCGGGCCGCCGCGGCGGCACGCCGGGCGCTTACGCGCGAGCTTACGCGGGCAGAGTACGCGCAAACGCAGGCGTAGACGATTCCATTTTGCTGCGTCGCTCACGTTGTTCTTCTTCGAATTCGGAGCAGCACTACGGGGGCAACCCCGTCCCCGCGCCTCGGGCTTGGGGGGGAGGCTCGGGCGCGTCACGGGACGGGCGCGCGGGCTAGACCAAAGCGGAAGGCTGCCGAGCCACAAAAGGCCGTCGTCGTCCTGCTTTACACCTGCTGCACATGCTGCCGCTCGCTCGCCCGTCTCTGCGACCAGCCCCCTCATCCTGATTGGTTACCTTCTCTTCATCATCAGAATCGTTGTCCTCCTCCTGTCCTATTCTACTCCCCTCCTCATCCTCAGTGTTCCGCACGTTTCCTCGTCGTCCTCCCTCCTTCCTCTCCTCCTGCTCCTCGCCACAACCTTACTTGATCGTACATGTCCATGGTCCATACCCATGTACACACACACGATTGCTCGACATTGGTAGCTCCACGCATCATGAGGCGCCCACCAACCCCCCACAGCAGTTACCAGCAAGGGGCCGCGCGCATGGACACCAGCATAGAACACAAATCTATGCATCTGAAGGCTCACGCACAATCGCACGTGGAAATGCTCGGCCAGATTCTTGGGCGCAGGCTGCAACATCGGCAATGGCAGATACAGCCCAAACTGATAGCAAGGGTGCGCGTTAAGAATGGCATGCCCTTGTCACTACTCCCATGTCGAGGCTTTTCGAGAGGGGCTGGCCATCGAGAGTGGTCAAGGATGGACCGCAAAGGCAAGGATGAAAAAATACCCTTGAGGAGGTGGACCATCCTCACCATCGGTTTCGACTGTACTGCATCTGGCGGGTTCCGGAAACCCTGAACCCAAACATGTTTCCATCTCTCGGGGGCGCACCTGTTACTTTTGTCAACTTGGGCGTGGCTTAAATGTGGGGGTCACAAATGGGGGGGTCAGGAAAGGCCCCCTTTCGTGCCCCTTTCGGGCCCCTCCAGAGCCCCATGGGGGCTCGTTTAGGTACCGTTTGGGTACCTTTTCAGACCACACTCGCCACCCCCCCATCTAGGATCCCCCATTACGCAACGCCCAATCAACTTCCGCAAACTTTCCGCCGGCTTCAGCCCGCGACGGCGGCCTCGATTTACTCCCGCCGCCCTCCGCCCACCCTCCGCCGGGGAAGAGATCGCAACCCCCTTGGTCCTTGAAGGCGAGGCCCCTTCTGGAACGCCGCACCCGATACTCGCCTGCGCTTCTGCACACTTTTTTCGCCGGCGGCGGGGCAGAGGGTGACTGCGCTGGCGATGGGAGGCCTCCACGGGGATGCCGCTAGAGCGAAGTGTGCCACCACGCAAAGAGGAGGACGAGGAGAGGAAAACACCGAAGGAGAACAGGAACTGGGGAGACCAAAAGGTACCGAGACCGCTACTCCCCGGACCTCTCCCGGGGTGCGTTCTGACCAGGATCTCGAGGCGAATCCAGCGGTGGCGACGAGGGAGGCCCTGGAGGCCCCAAAAAGTGGAAAACGGGCGAACGGGGCGGGCGGCTCTGGGGTCAGCTCGCTCCCCGAGCGTCCCTGCGTACCCGACCAGCCACAGCTGGGGGAGCTGCGGTCCTTACCCCCCTGGGGGAACCCATCGCATCGACGATCTCTCGAGAGGGGTGTCGAAATCGATGGGTGGAGGAGGAGGAGGAGGAGGAGGAGGAGGAGGAGGAGGAGGAGGAGGAGGAGGAGGAGGAGGAGGAGGAGGACCACAGCTCCCCCAGTTGTGGCTGGCCTGCGTACAGCCTCGCCAGGAGGAGGCCGCGGAGCGACGATCCAGGGCACGAGGGGCCCTCGCCTTCCGGCCGCGGCAGGCCTCGGCCACGACGCGGGCCCCGAGGCGCAGGTCGACGGCACCGCCCGACCGCCAGAGCGCCCCCCGAGCCCCACAAAATCGGGGAGCCCACAGAGGACGTCCGCTCAGGTGGGGTATGTCCTCCTGCAGGCAGATGTTCGAGGAACCATTGCTTCATTAATATATATATATATATATATATATATGGAGAGAGAGAGAGAGAGAGAGAAACAAAGAAAGAAAGAAAGAAAGAAAGAAAGAAACAAACAACAAAAAACAACATAAAAACATCTAACATGGTAGAAACATCGTTCGCATACATGGACTACTTTTGAATATTCCTCCTGTAGCGGGGCACGCCAGACTTGAACGTACGCGCCAAGCCACGTACTTGAATATAGCCCCCCAGTCCGCAACTCTGGCGTCGTGGTACGAGCGTTCGCGCAATGCGCACTTTCGAAGCCAACGTGGATTCATGTGCGTGTACGTCCCTCTTGCGCACATTAAAACTGGTCACTGCCAGAGCGCCTTCGCTGCACAGTCAGAACCGATAGGAAGGACGCCAGGTGAGGATGCAACTCGCCATCGCTCGGACGTCCACTCCCTGTCTTTTTCGGTTTCGTGCGTGGCTTTCTCGCCAAATGATCAAGGATGCTCCTCCATGGTCCTCGCCGAAGGAAAAATGCACACGTCCGAGCGATGCCAAGGCAAGGCCCTCGGACCTTCCAAATTGAGCGCCCTACGAGGTACAAAAATGACCCAGGGACTGGCCGACGAAGCACGGGTGCCAGACCCCCGACGTCGACTCCGGGAAGACTCTTGAGGCGAGCTTTCTTTTGGACGGTCCAGGAGGCCCAGCAAGGGCCCCAAAAGTTAGAGAAAAAAGAGCGAAAGCCTGCCCGTCGTGATATCGCCATGGCTCGAGAGGGTCTGGGTCGGCTAACGGAGCTGGCCAAGGTCTGGCCGAGGATGCCGGCGTGCCCTTCCACGGATTTCCACTGCACAGCGCCGGCGCCGCGGCGGGCACCAAGGGGCCCGACCACGGACGCCCGCGCGCCCCTCCACGGATCGGAAGGCGTCCACTGACCACCCTCCAGATCCTCGGGGCGATCGCCTCCCTCCCCTCCTCCTCTCGGCAGCGAGCGAGGGGGGGAGGCGAAGAGGAGAAGGCCTCCTCAGAAGGCGGCGGGACTTCTGAGGAGCCCTCGCGCCTTCTGAGAAGTTTCCTCCTCCCCCTCCTCCTCCCCCTCCTCCTCCTCCTCCTCCTCCCTCCTCCTCCTCCTCCTCCTCCTCCTCCTCCTCCTCCTCCTCCCTCCTCCTCCCCCTCCTCCTCCTCCTCCTCCTCCTCCTCCTCCTCCTCCTCCTCCTCCGCCCTCCTCCTCCTCCTCCTCCCCCTCCTCCTCCTCCTCCTCCCCCTCCTTCTTTGTTTTCGGGGGGCGCCTCGCAAACTTGACCGCAGGCCGGAGGCCCGCACCCTCTCTTTCTGCCCCCGGTCTTTCTCCTCCGGCCAGTCGCGAAACCTACCCGCACAGGCGTGGCACAAACGTCGGGCGAAGAGAACTGTGCACATGCACCGATCCTGGCAAGGCCCATCCTTGACCCAGGATCGGTGCACATGCCTTCCTGGCCAAGGTAGGAGGGCGTGTGCACCGATCCTGGGCGCAGGATGGGCCTGGCCAGAATCAGTGTATGTGCATAGTTCTTTTTCCTCTAAAACGTGCGCGACGTGAAGTCATCGCCTGCTTCTCCCAGGTCGCCCAACACTGCGCGCACAAGCGCGCCCCGCGATGCGCGATCGCCTTCGCGCAGTCACGCCATAGCTCCCCCCCCTGTTTAGTGGCCTCCTAGATGGGGCCCGAGTAGATGGGGTCGGAGTATCTCGCCGCATCGCCGATACATCGGCGATGCATCGCCGATGCATGGGCAATGCATCGGCCATGCGCTGACGACGTCGGCGATGCATCGGCGACGTCGGCGTGGAGAGAATTGGGCCCCACATCGAGCCGCATCGCCGATGCATCGCCGATGCATCGCCGATGCATCGCCGATGCAGCGGCGATGCGGCGCGATCCTCCGACCCCATCTACTCCGACCCCATCGAGGAGGCCTAGACTGCTTCTTCCATGGGAAACTGGAACGTATAGGAACCAGTATCGGGCTGTTTTTCAATTCCAAAACTTCTTGAAGGTCGGGGACGGCGTCGGGGTGGTGCGGTGCATACTTGTTGTTTCCGCTTCCCGGGGGAACAGCGAAACATGTATACACCAGGGTCCCGTACATACCAGGATCCGCTTTCCTGTGCAGGTACCAGTGCAGGGCTGGAAAAATCGGGCCGGGCGAAAGGGGGGGATAGCAAAAGGTGGGTTTAAGAATCAGCTCACGTAGCTGATTTTCCCGGCGCCTCCCGGCGCCGGAGGCGGCTATGTATCGAAGAATGGGCCCCTCGGCGGGGCCGAAACGAGCTGCATGCAGCAGATTCCGAAACCCCCCCTTTCCCAATCCCCCCCTGTCGTCCGGCCCGAAAAAAGCATCGGTGCATAGAGTTCGTTCCCCTGTTCCAGGTCGCCCCCGCCCAAGATGGGCCGCACGGGCGCGCCCCGCGAGGAGCGACCGCCTTCGCGCAGCCACGCCCTGGCCTTCGGTCGGGCATGTCCCCCTACAGGCGGACCTTGGACGAAAAAATAAGAATGCTCAACACATATCCCATCATATTCAAAAGTAATAACAGAGAGAATCGTCCCACGATCTTTTATATTATTTTTGAATGCTCCTCCTGTAGCGCGACACGCCCGACTTAGCCCTGGCCCCGCCGACTTTAGAGAGAAGGGCAGAAGCCTGGGCCCAGGCGCGGTGACACGCGCGCGAGGCGCGGCTCCCGCGGGCGCCCCCGCGAGTGGCCTGGCTTGGGCCCACAACGGGGCCCGGGATCGCTGCGGAAACGCTCTCCCGACCTGGCCACGGAGGCGCAGACACGTCTCTTCTTTTTGGGTTATTCACATCCATGCGAAGCCCAGCGGCAGAGGCAGGGAGAGAGGGACGGAGGAAAGACGAGAGAGGAGGGAGGAGAGAGGAGGAGGAGGAGGAGGAGGAGGAGGAGGAGGAG